GCAGCACAGAGTGGGCTGGGAGGAGGCAAGCGCACCTGCAGCTTCAGGTCCTCCTCTGCTTTGCCCATTAAACATTATTTAGGCACGAAAATGGATGGAGGGAGATTTCGTTTTCTTTATGCTGCAAAGTGAAGACCTATTGAGCATGTAGTCAGTCATTTTGATGAATTTTGAGGACTAAAGAGCATCATAAACTGAACAAGCAGCCCTCCCAGGTGGCAAGAAGTACACAGATTGGTAGCTGCCCAGATTTTAACCAGTACGTGTGCTCCAACTTCAGTTTGAAGAGGGCATAGTTATATTCATGCTACGGAAGGATTTCTTCTGCCTAATTTTGTTGTTTAGGAAGAAAGCTTAGCAGCCTTTGAGGGGAAAGAATTACACTTTAGCAAAATGTACCCTAAAAGAGGTATATTCTAAAGAAAATACACAGAGTACCAAATGTTAACTTTGCCTAGCCTTCTATGTTCCCCACTGTATTTTAATTGTGGGTTTCTGTATCTAGCTACATAATATCTTTATTTTTAAATTTTTCTTACTTATACATGGACACAATATCTTTATTTTGTTTATTTTTATGTGGTACTGAGCCACAATCCCGACCCATATCTTTATTATTTTTTAGGTGTAGATGGACACAATACAATGACTCTATTTTTACGTGGTGCTGAGAATCGAACCTGGGTTCTGCCCTAGCCACTGAGCCATAATCCCAGCCCCCCGACCCATATCTTAAAAAGATGGTTCAGATCTTTTTTTCTTTTCTTTTTTCTTTTTTAGTTGTAGTTGGACACAATACCTTTATTTTATTTTTATGTAGTGCTGAGGATCAAACCCAGTGCCTCGCACATGCTAGGTGAGCGCTCTACCGCTGAGCCACAACCCCAGCAAGATGGTTCAGATCTTTTTCTGTTATTAGAGTTTATCATTGTATACTGTTACCCAGTTAATTTTTGCATTCTTTATTTTTTTCAAAATCGTGCTACATTTTTTTAATACAGTTCTGCTGAAATTATTTAAATATTAGTTCTGAAGATTCTACTTGTATCTTGTTGCTGAAAATGTTTTTTGCATTTTAGCACATTGAGTTAAATGTTGTTACTACTTATTTGGGGGTGGGGAGGAATGATTGTTCACAACTGGGTGCAGTGATACATGCCTATAATCCCAGCTGTTTGGGAGGCTAAGGCAGGATGATTTCAAGATCAAGATCAGCCTGGGCAACTTAGCAAGACCCTGTCTCAAAGTTAAAATATATAGCAAGCTGGGCGTGGTGGTACACACCTATAATCCCAGCAGCTTGGGAGGCTGAGACAGGAGAATCAAGAGTTCAAAGCCAGCCTCAGCAACAGCGAGGCACTAAGCAACTCAGTGAGACCCTGTCTCTAAATGCTCAGTGGTTGAGTGCCCCTGAGTTCAATCCCTGATGCCCCCGCTCCAAAAAAAATTATATATATACATACATATGGGATTGGGGGCATAGCTCAGTGATAGAATGCCCTTGAGTTCAAACCCCAGTACCAGTAGGAAGGAAAAAAAAAATGATAGTTTGGGCTTTTTCTCTGGGATCTGCAGATCCTTCAGTAAGAAAAAAGTATAGTAGCTGAAAACCAACACACTGAGCCAAGGAGAACCCCTGTGGTATTGAATGTGAGCAGAGAACTTCCCAACACCTCAGACCCTCACACCACAGACTCCAGCATAGCCAGGTCATTTTGCCCTAGTGAACCTGTGCCTCACCTTGAAAATGGGGCTTCTTTTTTTAGGAGAATAACTGAATGACCAAGAATGCTAAGTGGCACTACCCCAAAGCTATGTATTGTTTTCAAGATGTTATTCCTGTGGGTGGTTATTCCAGTATTGTTTGGAGAATTAGGATTCAAATACCAGCTCATCTATTCTCCAGCTGTTGTTTTTCAGCTAATTTCCTGGAATAGTCAGGCATAAGTTCTTTTAAAAACAATTTTGTGCTGCTATACATTTTAGTAGGTAATAATTAAGCACACTGCTGATTTAGTGTATTTACTGCACAGGATGCAAGTAATGAACCAAAGAATATCCATGTCCCTTGGAAGCAATGGCATTGAAGTACAGACTCCCATGAGCTCATCTCTAACCCCACTTCATCCCACCCCATTGATTGGAGATTTTTCAACATCCCACTAAAGAGTGTGAAGGTTCTCAACTTCCTGAGCCATCCATTTCATATTTCTCTCTTTAAATTTTATTTATTTTTTAGATAAGATAGATATGTGGATTGATGGGTGGGTGGATGGATGGATAGATAAGACAGACAAACAGATAATAAAATTCAAAGAGTACTAAAGATCTACAGTAAAGTCTTGCCCCTGCCTTGTAGCCACTCAAGAGCAATCAGCATTGCCTGTTCCTTGGGTATCCTTACAGACAGATTGCATCACAGATCTTCCCTGCAGCCACCACTACCACCTTTCTAATATGGAACTGGAATCATCTATACCATATGTACTGTTATTTGCCTCGTTAGTCTCCTTAAACTCACTTTATGTAACAAGTGAAAGTTCACCTGTATGTTTCTAGAATTGATGTGAAGCTCTAACCTTGTACATTTCTGGTGGCCTCTGGCATATCTCTACTGCCTACTCCTAAATGGTAAATATTTACCCAGACCCCCTACCTCATATCCCCATGGTGTGACCCAGTGGTCCCCGCTGTCATCACCATCCAGGTCAGACTTAGGATCTTCACACCTATATCTCTCCATCCAAAGCTCAGGGTTGCTGTTATCTTTGGTTGCATAAACTAAGAGCTAAGTCCTCATCCTTGGCACCCACTCCCCATACTCAAGCCCGCCATCTTGCTTACTCAGTTTCTCCCAAGTAGATCCCCTTCTCTTCACTTCCTTACCCGTCTCCCTGGTCTGAGCTTCCTTTGTCCCTTTCCTGGATGACCATGCTAGCTCCCGTCTCTTGCACTTCCACTCTTTCCTCCTTACAATTTTTTTTCCATCCAGAATTATCTAACCCTGCTGGACACAGTGACACATGTCTAAAATTCCAGCAACTCCTGAGACTGAGTCAGGAAAATCACAATTTCGAAGTCCAGCCTGGGCAACTTAGCAAGACCCTATCTCAAAATAAAAATAAGAAGATCTGAAATGTAGCTTAATGGTAGAGTGCACAGCTTGCAGTTAGCTACAGGAACTCATTTGCCCCGCTTTGCCTGCTAACTAACATCTGTTGCTGCTGTCCTCTGCCTGGCAGGCTCTCCTATTCTCACCAGTCCATCTAGGTATCACTGACTCATTTTTCAAATCTCAGACTTCACTTCTTAAATCCTTCCCTATCTCCCAGACTAGGTCAGATCCCCAGACAAAGCCAATCACACTCTTTTCCTCCACTGTACTTATTAGGATTGGAATTTCCATTTATGTCCATGGTCTTTGGAGTTTTACTATTGTTTTGAGTGGGGAGGGGGGTTGTTTTGCTTTTGTTTTATTTTTTTGTTTTGCAGTACAGGGAATCTAATCCAGAGCCTTTTGTATGTTAGGCAAGCACTTTACCACTGTGCTACATCTCCAGCCTACTTTGAGACAGGGTCTCTCTCAGTTGCCCAGGTTGGCCTTGAATTCACCATCCCTTCTGCCCCAGATTCCCAGGAGGCTGGGATTACAGGCATACACCTCCACACCAGCAAGTTCTTGTTATTGGTATGTGTTTTAGTCAGCTCTTTCATCATTGTGACCAGAAGACCTGGCAAGAATAATGTAGAGAAGAAAAAGGTTATTTGGGGCTCAGAGTTTCAGAGCGCTCAGTCCATACATGCCTGACTCCGTAGCTTTGGGCCAGAAATGACACAGAACATCATTGCAGAAGGTTATATCATAGGGAAACAGCTCAGGACTTGGCTACAAAGAAGCAGGGAGAGCTCTCTGCTCACCAGGGACAAAATGTAAACCCCAATGGCACACCCACAGTGACCCACCTCCTCTAGCTACTCCTTACCTGTCTACAGTTACAGTCCATTTAATCCATATTAGTGGATTAATGAACTGGTTAGGTCTAGGCTCTCATAACCCAATCATTTAACCTCTGAACTTCCTTGCCTTGTCTCATGCATGAGCTTTTGGGGGAACACCTCATATCTAAATCTTAACATTCTACTCCATCCCCCAAAAGCCATCTGTAAACTGAAACCATGAGCCCCAAATAAACTTTCCCTCCTCTATATTGTTCTTGTTAGGTCTTTTGGTCATAGCAATGAAAAAACTACTAAAATACTGTGGGTTTTATAAACTGTGAAGAATCCTATATTAAAGGATGATGATTTTTTTAAATTTTTATTTGTTTAATTTCATTTATGGTATGACATCCATATTTGTGAGTGATGCATGGTAGAGAGAATGTCTTCCTTAGGGCACTGATGATCCTAATCTAAACTTTTCCTCAGTCCCATGCCAGAGGACTGGACATAGGGATTGGGGAGATTAAGATCCAGACAGACCCCACCTTTAAGCAGCTCAGCAGCATTTTATTTTTAAAGACTCAAGAATCTGGGGCTGGGGTTGTGGCTCAGCTGTAGAACACTTGTTTAGAATGTATGAGGCCCTGGGTTCGATCCTCAGAACCACATAAAAATAAATAAATAAAATAAAGGTATTGTGTCCAACTACAACTAAAAAATAAATATTTAACAACAACAACAACAAAAAAAAAAAGACCCAAGAATCTCTCTTATGGTATTTCCAGGTGTCCTGCTGCATTTCAGAAAACTTACACAAGCTAGGTGGTGGGAGCACACTTTATTTAGATTAAGAAGGAACACTGTCCTCCTGCCTTCTTCTGATGCTGTTTAACTCTTTCTTCTGAGAGATGACTTTAGAAATAGCCCTGCTGACAGGGAGGGAGGGCCTCCGGGAGATTCCAAGCCCCATGAAGCATGTTTCACACCTTTTGTTGAATGGGAGTTTGTATGGCCTGCACTCACCAGAAGCTGCCTTTATCTCTGTCCTTTTTCCCCAGGAGACCTGTAGGAAGTGTCAGGGACTCTGGAAAGAACATAATGGCCTTACCTGTGAAGAGCTGGCTGAAAAGGATGACATCAAGTACCGAACATCTATGTGAGTAGGACTTGTCACTGACTTGACTCCCCAGCTAACCTGCATTTGGTCAGAGGGGCAGAGTGTTCTGTCGGGGGAACAAGCCCAAGTCATTGTAGTCTAGGGTAACCTCAAGGAATATATCTACACTTAGCCTGTTTCCTTATCTCTGTAGACTCTTGGAGCAACTTCAGAAGTCATATAGCACATATGCATTCAAGAAATGTTTCCCCTCCCCTTATTGTCTAGATAAATGTGTGTAACACATTGTTTAGATTACACAATTGCTGCTTATGTCTTTGTTCTAAGATGCTGATGCTAAGACATTAAGTAGAATTGCCAACTGCTAGAATACAAAGTAATGTATTAGTAATAATAACCATTACTTGTGTGGTGTTCCATATGTGACTGAGCACTTTACAAATACTGACTTACTAAAATATAGCACCTTAAGTTCTACAGGAGTCTGTTTCTCCTGTAATAGTCAAGTCCTGCCATGCCAATAGGGTTGTTCCATGAGGTCACTCAGAGATCCAGGTTCCTTTACGTCACTGCCTCACTATTCCCTAAGCATGGTGTTCTTACCTGTGTAATCGTGTCAGGATTATGACCACATTTACTCTCCAGCATAGGAAAGGAGAAAAAAGGAGACAAGTTGTCAGGCTGTCAGCTTTTCTTTAAATTGTAAGTACTGCAGAAATTATGTCTATCACTTCTGCTCATACCCATCAGTCAAGGTTGATTCATGTGAGCACAACCAGGCTCTAAAAGAAGACAGTATTTGGAGTTTCTAGCTGGGAAACTTTTTATGTCCAGCTTTAAGAAAGTGGTGTACACAGAGGGGTTTGTTATTCAGAAATGAAGTGGGGAATGACATTTGGGGCAGAGTCTCTGAGTCTCCACCACAGGCATGTACTGTGGTCCTCATTTTATAAGTAGGCAGCTGAGGTGCAGAGATACCACAACTTTGGAGGGCAGAATAATGACCCCCAACCCCAGTGATGTTGTCCTATCATGACATATTTAAGGTATGGAGATTATCAGAATGAACCAAAGCTAATCGTGACTCCTTAAAAGGAGAGACGGTTTCCCAGCTGTGGTCAGTGAGCAAGAGATGCAGAGAGAACACTGAGTCAGAGAAACATGAAAAGGACTTGACTTCACATGTCAAGGGCTGGCTTTGAAGATGGAGGAAGGGAGCCATGAGGTAGCCTCTGTCAGTTGTGGTCCACTCAGCATCTGAGTCAGCCTAGGTACTTGGAGCAGCATATAGTCCTCTCAGCTTGGCATCCTTCTAGATCAACAGTTAGAGAATTCATACTAGAACATTTAGATGTGATGTGTGTCCATTCTAGGATCCAAAAGTCTCCATAGTAGAAGAGGATGCAAGACACAACACAGCTTAACTTAGGAAAGGATATCCTGATGCACACCCCTGACCTTTACACCACCAGAACTCCATAGATATTACATGCTTCATATATCCAAGGGGTTATCTCCATTTTATAGTATTCACATTATTAGTGCGTCCTCAAGTACCTGCTGCTTCCTGTTCATCAGGTTCTATGTAAGTGTCATTCAAGGAGTAGACCAGTATATAGTCCTGGTGGAAGACAGATGAAAATATTCTTGTCAGCTGCTGATGTTCTCTGCCACTGGACAGAAAATATAAAGTGTTTTCCAGATCAGTACCTATGTACCAGTTACCAAGAGCTATGTTTATTTGCCAAGGGTAAGAAGTGGCATCTGCAGCAGCGGCTGAGATTAGTTAGCACGTGATGAGGCTTAACACTATTCTCTGTGTAGACCAAAAAGAGGTCTGGGGAGAATCAAAAACACTGCCCTTTTTTTTGTAACTATGGATTCAACAACCCAGAGGCACTTTACTGAGCTTCATCAATCATTCTTTTTCTTTTTTGAAGTGGTCCCACTGAGTTGCCCAGGCTGGCTTAGAATTACATTCCTTCTGCCTCAGCCTCTTGAGTCACTGGGATTACAGGCTTGCACTGCACTACCGTATCTGGCTAACACTGCATCTTTAAAGTCTTTGATGGTGCCACCAATCTCAAAAAAAAAAAAAAAAAATTCTATGGGAATCTAGTATTTAGAGAAGGGGTGCTTTGGGATCTTCAGCTTGCCTTTCCTTACCATATAGCCCTTACCCCATTGATGAGAGAAGGAAAGAATCCTCCCAATTGCCAAGCATCAGAAATAAGAAATGAGCCGGGCGAGGTGGCACACGCCTAGTATCCCAGCAACAGGAGGATCAAAGCCAGCCTCAGCAAAAAGTGAGGCACTAAGCAGCTCAGTGAAACCCTGCCTCTAAATAAAGTACAAAATAGGGCTGGGGATATGGCTCGTTTGTCAAGTGCCCCTGAGTTCAATCCCCAGTACCCTCCAAAAATATATATATATTTGTGTGTGTGTGTACACACACACACACACACACACACACACGGTATACACAAAAATAGTTGTAAGAATAGTAACTGCTGTGAAATGAGGCTTAATTTTGGTACCTTGAGTAGCATGTTAAGAAACTGCTATGGGTGGGCTGGGGCTGTGGCTCTGAGGTAGAGCTCTCATCTAGCGTATGCAAGGCACTGGGTTTAATCCTCAGCACCACATAAAAATAAATAAATAAAATAAAGTTTGTGTCTGACTACAACTTAAAAAATAAATATATTTTTTTAAAAAAAGAAAGAAACTGCCATGGGGTGCTGGGGATGTAGTGGTAGAGCATATGTCCAATACATGCAAAACACTGAATTCCATCCCTGGTACCCCCAAAATAAAAAAATAAACAAGTCTGGCTTCCTGTTTCACCATGTGCTCTCTTCTGCAAATGCTCCTGCCATTGTGATATCATCCACCACAAGGCCCTCACCATAGCTGAACAGATGCCACCATCAATGCTTTTGAATCTCTAGAACTGTGTGCTAAATAAACTTTTTTAAATTAAGCACCCAGCCTCAAGAATCAGACTAAGAACCTCAACTTGTCAATAATAAAAAAAACATGACAGGTCTGCATTCTGTCATTGTTTGTTTTTTGTTTGGGGGGGGAGGGTTGTTGGTTGGTTGGTTGGTTTTTTCATATCACTTTTCTTAGGAAAATTGTTAAGAATTCATGATAGAAATAATAGTACAATGAACCCCCAACAGTTATCATTATTTTGCCCCATTTGCTTCATTTCCCTTTTTTTTTTTTCTTGTTTTTAAACTGCTATAGTATTTTCAAGCAAATCCACTTCCTTGGCAGCATGTCATTTTATCCCTACATGCTTACTTTTTTCCCCTTACATAGCAAATCACATTAATAATTTGTTATAATCATTAACAAAATTGACAATAAGTCTTTGATAATATCTCATAACCAAGTTTACAGCTCTCCCAGTTGTCTCAGAATAGCTTTACCACATGTTCCATAATTGATTTAGTCAGATCAGGATTCAAAACAAGGTCTGCTCATTGCATGGGTAATCATTTCTCTTGAATTTCTTTTATAATAAGGGTATCCTCTCTCCTCAACACAGTGCTTATCATGCCATTGACTTATGAAGAACAATGACCATTGACTTGTAAAATACCTTCTTATGTTGACTGCTTTTTCAGGTGTCATTTAACTTGTTCTTCTGTCCTCTGTATTTTCTGTAAATTAGAATTTAGATTAAAGATTTGATTAGGTTCATATTCAATATGTTTTGGTGAGAATACTTCATAAGAGGTACTGTGCTTCTCACGTTAATATTGTGAAACCCATAAAAATATTGTACACACAGCCAAAGCCACATAGTGTCTGCTTGGTCCACTATTAAATGCTTTCAAGCAAGCAAACAACATGGCCAGAGTCATTGGTTTGATGGCTGTGTGGCAAATAGCTTTAAGGAAAATAAGACTAGGGTTAAGGAGAACATTTAGAAGCCACTGCAGTAGTTCCAACCCATTCCATTACATAGCCCCAGATTAGGATGGCAGTATTGTGTAAGAGAGGATGGGTTTGAGAAATTTAAGAAGTAAGTCGGTAAGACTTGGTAGCTGATAGATAATGGGAGGTAAGAAAAGAAGGAATCAAGATTCTCAAGCCAGATACAGTGACACATGCCTGTAATCCCAGTGACTTGGGAGGCTGAAGCAGGAGAAGTTCAAGGGCATCCTCAGCAATTTAGCAATACCCTGTCTCAAAATAAACAAAAGTGCTAGGGCTATAGCTCCGTGACAAGAGCACCCCTTGGTTTAGCCCCAGTATGGCAAAAGAAAGAAAAGTTACTAAATTGCAAACCCTGCAGGAAGCAATTGGATTTCCAGAATTTCCACATTATAATATTCAAAATACCCAGTTTCAACAGTAATTTAACAGGCATACAAAGAAACAGGAAAGTTTCACCCATTCACAGGAAAGAGCACTGGACAGAAGTCGCCCCTAAGGATACACAGACATTGGATTTATTAGACCAAAAAAAATTTTTTTTGAAGTTGTAGATGGACAACAGTACCTTTGTTTTATTTATTTAGTTTTATGTGATGCTGAGGATTGAACCCAGTGCCTCACACATGCTAGGCAAGTGCTCTAGCTGCAAGCCCAGCCCTGACTAGACAAATATCTAAAATCTACTGTCTTAAACATGCTCAGAGGGCTGGAGTTGTAGGTCAGTGGTGGAACACTTGTCTAGCACATATTAGGCACTGGGTTCAGTGCTCAGCACCATAAATAAATAGATAGATAGATAAATAGGCATGTGCTCAGAAAGCGAAAGGATACCACAAACAGAAAACTAAAAGAAGCTTAGCCCAGTAATATAGGTGTGCCCATAGTCCCACGCACTCTGGACGCTTAGACAGAAGGATTATTTAAGCCCAAGAGTTTGTGGCCAGCGTGAACAGTATAGCAAAAAAAAAAAAAGATGTTGGTAGCACAGTGTATGAACAGGTAGTGAATACATAGAGAATATTAGGATTAATAGTGAAACCCATAAAAATACTTTACCTAAGTTGTAGTGGACACAATACCTTTATTTTATTTTTGTGTGATGCTGAGGATCTTACCCAGCACCTCACACGTGGTAGGCAGCGGTATACCACTGAGCCATAACCCCAGCCTGGAACATATCGTTTTATAGTTGGAAACAGTGCATTGTGGAAGCACCTAGCACAGCAGGCAGCTCTTGACAAACAGCAATTTGTCATTTTGACTTGTCCACCCTCCACATCAGTCAGATGATTCTGGAGACAGCTAGCCTCCCTGGAAGCTCCCCATCAGCCAGGATTGAGTCGTATGTGTGTCGTGCCCTTGCTGCAAAGGAGTCTGGAAGTGTAGGACTGTGATGTGGGAGGATGACTCTGCCAACTCAGAAGTCAGACTGGCAGTCATTCCCTCTGCCACCCCTAAGACAAGTTTGCAGAATTTTGGGGTGTGCAACTATGGTTTGGACTCACTAACTCTTAATTGTCATGTAATTTAGGAAGACCTTGAGTTTTTTGTCTCCATTTTAAGTCTTTGGGATTCTTGAAACAAACAGAAGTTATTTTTCTAAATGCTGTGTGCCAGGGGCTTTATATCTTACCTGTAATCCTCAAAACACCGTGAGAAAGTTGTGTTTTCCCAGTTTAAAACTGAGGAAACTGCTGGGTGTAGTGGCATGAACCTATCATTCCAGTAACTTGGAATACTGAGGCATGAAGATCACAAGTTCAAAGCCAGTCTCGGCAACTTAATAAGGCCTTAAGCAACTGTCCTAAAATAGAAAGGACTTGGGGGCTGGGGTTGTGGCTCAGTGGTAGAGCGCTTGCCTAGCATATGTGAGGCGCCCTGGGTTCGATCATCAGCACTACATAAAAAAAATAAAGGCATTGTGTCCATCTACAACTAAAGATATATATATATTTAAAAAAAAAAAAAAAGAAGAACTGGGAATGTGACTTGGTGGTTAAGTGGCCCTGGGTTCAATCCCCAGTACCAAACCAAGTCTCCAGACAGTTGGGAAATATACCCAAGGTTAGACAGTTGATTATCTTTGAACTCAGTTCTCAGACATCAAAATATTAGGCTCTTTTCACTCTTTGAATGTCACCATACGCCACAAGCAATCAGTACACATAGAAAGAGATAAATACTTAATGGCCATAATAATTTTCTTTTCATCTTCCTGGCCAGCTCCAATCATGTTTTCTTTTTTCAGTGAAGAAAAAATGACTGCCGCCCGCATTAGAAAATGCCACAAATGTGGAACTGGCCTCATCAAATCAGAAGGCTGCAACCGCATGTCTTGCCGCTGTGGTGCCCAAATGTGCTACCTCTGTCGAGTGTCTATCAATGGATATGACCATTTCTGCCAGCATCCTCGTTCGCCAGGAGCCCCTTGCCAAGAGTGTTCAAGATGTTCCCTCTGGACCGACCCCACTGTAAGTAGATGCATAACTGCCTATTTCCACGTGGGGGAGAAGAGCCATGCATTCCTGTAATGAAAACATGACAATTCTTACTCATGAGAAAATACAGGAAATTACATGGAACAGTAACTACGGGGGGCGGGGGATGAGAAAGTAATCAAAAGCTGCTCATCAGAAAGTAAGCCAAGAGTGGTCACCCAGGCCTATAGTCACAACTACTCAGGAGATGAGGCAGAAGGACCACTTGAACTCACAAGTTCAAGATCAACCTGGGCAACCCAGCAATACTCCATCTCAAAAAAATAGAAAGAAAGAAAAAGAAAAGAGAATAAGCATTTTCATACAGTTTTGGTGGGCAAATTCTTTGGCTCCTTTAGGGAATAAGCTTTTTTCCTGTGCTATCTGAAGTATCCCAGAGCATGGAAAAAGGGAACTTGGAACAGTGTTGCACACCTGTAATTCTAGTGACTTGGGAGGCTGGAGGCAGAAAGATCAAAATTTTGAGACCAGCCCTAGCAACTTAATGAGATCCAGTCCCCAAAAATAAAAGGCTTTTAGTACCTTAATATTTTTCTCCTTCATAAGTCCAAAGTAGTAGGCCAATTTGAAGTGGTTTCTTTTGCTACCATTCATTCCAGTGACTTAACTGTTGATTTATTGTCTTGAAAATAAAGTATGTTGGAAAAGTTAAAAAAATAAATAAATAAAAGGCTGGGGTGTATAGCTCAGTGGTAAAGCACCCCTGGATTCAATCCCCTGCACTGTAAAAAAAAAAAAGAGAGAGAGAGAGAGAATGGTTCAGAAACACAGGATGGTTTAATATTAATAACCCTTAGATGGCAAAAAGATAATTTCAAAAATCACATCTATTTTGATTTAAGCTTTTTTAAAAAGTATTATTGATATGACCTAACCCCATATTTCAGAATAGTTGTAAGCACATATTTAGCGGTGAAATATATAGAAGTATTCCTAATAAAGTCAAGTATAAGATTATCATTGATTTGTTCTACAACTGCTAATCAGAACACTTGACTAATAATAAAATAAATGGTATAGATGCTAGAGAAGGTCATGGCTAATCCTGATTAACACCCACTAGTGTGTCAGATGCTATTTTAATTACTCATATGTAAAGAAAGGAAAATTCATCATTTAAAAATTCAAAAAGACAAAATAATCAACTAGAAAGCAGTAGAAAGATGACTAAATATAAAATATACCCAATACCATTTTCAGTAGAATTACAAATCATAAAATATCCTAGAATTGAATGTGGATAAGCAGTATGAGGAAAACTATAAAACTATATTGAAGGACATGAAGAGACCTGAACATATGGAAAAATATGTTTTGTTCTTTTAATATTTACTTAATTAAACAATTGTTTTTAGAATCATATTAAACTAAAAACACGCACAATCAGGTAATGTGATAAGTGCAAAGACTTGTTCTACCAAAAGGTGATAACATATCAGAGGGGTCCCCACTAATATGGGGAACGTATCAGCAAGTGCTTTAAGGCCCATAGAAAGCAGGCCTGATGACAGATGGATCCTCTCAGCTTTCCCTGGGGAAAGCAAAGGTGGCCTGGGTGTCATAGTCCTAAGAGCCGGCATGTGGTATTAAAGAGAGATAATTTCTCTCCAGAGTTACTTAAAAATCTTATGGAATTCATATCTCAAGTAGGATTTTTTTTTCCCCCAAAAAAAAATGATTGGTGGGCTGGGGTTGTAGCTCAGTGGTTGAGCACTTGTCTAGCACTTATGAGGCACTGGGTTCAACCCTCAGCACCACATAAAAATAAATAAATAAAGGTATTATGTGCATCTACAACTTAAAAATATATATATTAAAAAAATGACTGGTTTTGCAAATTAGACTGATTTTTACTATAAAGCTAAACTAACCAAAACCATGTAAACTAGGACAAGCATAGGCAAATGTATCAAAAGAACTGGAGAAATGACAGATTGAGTCATTTGTTCATTCTTTTTTTTTTTTTTTTTTTTTTTAATATTTTTTAGTTTTCGGCGGACACAACATCTTTGTTTATATGTGGTGCTGAGGATCAAACCCGGGCTGCACGCATGCCAGGCGAGCGTGCTACCGCTTGAGCCACATTCCCCAGCCCCATTTGTTCATTCTTAACTGGGAGTTGTTCCAGAACTGGTCTGAACAGAAAGCCCCCATCTTCATGCAGTTTATATTCAAATACATTATAAAACCGGAATATTCCATGAAGTTGGTACTAAACTGAATTTAGTACTATTCATTCAGAAGAATCAGAATGAGGTAGTGAGGAATGACAGGAGCTAGAGGAAGCAGCCATTTCAAATGGAAGAATCCAGGCAGTTATTTCTGAGGACAGCATTTGCAGTAAAACCTGTTAAGAAGAGCAAGGCCACTGGGGAAATCAAACAAATTGAGTGTGTTTGGGGAACAGTAAGAAGGCAGATATGGCTTGCCGGTGCTGAGCTGTGGGAAGTAAAAAGGACCATCCCAAAGCCCTGTTGAGGGTCTGAATGCAGTGATGGTAACTGCAGGGCATTACAGGGTGTTATGTTTTCAAGATCACACTGGCTACTATTATATAGAGAGGGCATATTTGAGAGTTTTTGTGGGGCACTTGGCTAATCACTGGGAAAATACCCCAAGGAAACAAAAGAGATGACTTTTATAATCTTGGAGCAGGGAAGATCCTTCTTAGCATTATATCAGGGCCACTAATAAAATGGAAATTCTCTTTGGTAAGACAAAGTAAACAATGATAAAGATAAATGGGGGCTGGGGCTATGGCTCAGCAATAGAGCACTCGCCTAGCATATGTGAGGCCCTGGGTTCAATCCTCAGCACCACATAAAAATAAATAAGTAAAATAAAAGTATTGTGTCCACCTACACCTAAATATATATAAATATTTATAAATGGAAAACTAGGGGAAATACTGGTTACACATATATTGATACAGATAAATATTCTTGATCTATAGAGAATAAAATGACTCGATAAGAAGTCATTGAAGGGGCTGGGGTTGTGGCTTAGCAGTACAGCACTCACCTAGCACATGCAAGGCCCTGGGTTCAATCCTCTGCACCACATAAAAATAAATAAATAAATAAATAAATAAATAAATAAATAAATAAATAAATGGCATTGTGTCCAACTGCACCTAAAAAATAAATTTTTTTTAAATAAAAGAAGTTAATGAATATCTCTAAGGATTAATTTAACTGGAAAGAACATGAAACCTAAAAATAGACATGGGGAGATGGTACCTCAGACACTGTGGTTAGGAGTATAACTGGCATATGGGGCAGAAGAGTATATAGATCAGAAGGGGTTTTTGATGTTGTTTTCATTTGAGTCTCCCTATGTTGCCCAGGCTGGCCTAGAATTACAGTCCTCCTGTCTCAGCCTCCAAAGTAACTGGACTACAGGCATGTGCCACTGCATCTAACCAGATCAAAAATGTTAATGTCAGCTGGATGTGGTGGCACATGTCCATAATGTCATTGCCTTGGGAGCCTAAAGCAGGAGGATCGCAAGTTCAAAACCAGCCTCAGCAACTTAGCAAGATCCTGTCTCAAAATAAAATATAAAATGGGCTGGGGATGTGGCTCAGTGGTTGAGAGCCCCTGGGTTCAATTCCTGGTACCCAAAAAAAAGGTAAGAAAGAAAGGTTAATGTCTATTCCTTGACCTAGAAAAGTGGTGTAAATTAAAAAACACATTTAAACATACCAAAAAATAGGTGATATGTTTTATTTTATATGTTTATATTAGAATAATACAAAAAATAATGTTTCATGTATATTTTAAAACACGGGGGAGAAAAACATAGGAAGATTGACACATAGAAAATGAATAGCATACAGAGACCAAGCTGCCATGGGGCAGGTATAACAAGAACTGAGGGCTGTGGAACCCCTCATGGTATGAGTAGGACAGTGGGCCCATCCACTTGTACCAGGTGAGACTACTCAGTTCTATGTTTTAAGGTGAAATCCCCTGGTTTTTAAAATTGACCGCTTATCCAACTATCTTGAAAATACTATTCAGGCCACCACTTTCTAAGCCAAAGAAAGGATCTGTATCTCTAGTGTGTACCTCTCTAGCATTCCTACAAGAGAAGATGCCAGGGTCAGAGGCTGGCCACAGAGTGATGGTCATAGCAGACCTCTCTGGTCTACCCCAAAGGCGGGGCAACCTAGAGGCTGATCTCTGCCCATGTTCAACAAATACGTCATTCTCAGAGCCACCACAGTGTAAAAAGCAGTGAGTCCTCCTAGAAACCATGTGGGGAGTGTCCTGTTTTAGGAATCATTGATCTTGTAGCTCATGAACCAGTGATACCCTCCATAAGCCTGCCTTTCTGTCATCAAGGAAGTACATGGAAGAAAGAAAGGCCTCTGCACAGGAAGAACAGTCTTCCCTTGGCTGATTTTGGGGGGAGGCATGGCCCATAGTGGGAAGTGCTCATCAGATAATGCACAGGGCCCTTTGTGACAGGTCTTCCTGGGGCCTAGCCATTCTACCAACTCCCTTCACCATCTCTCCAGAACTTCATGAAGAAATAGGGTCCTTTTTCTTCAGCTGAAGCTCCCAGACCCTAACCTTAATTTTATTTTCAGAAGTAAAAAGCAGAGTGCATGTTGCCACATGAGGGCAGGTGTTTAGCATCGTGGCCTGTTTCTCTCTGCACCGCTTCCTCTTGTCCTGGTTCTTCACCTGCACCCCTCTCTCCCCATACCCAGGCGTGGACTTGATTGTAAGTTCGTCTTTCAGCTGCATTCTGTGGCTGCTGCAGCATGCAACTACCCTCTGTTTTCTTGTCAAATAGTCATTTGCCTGAAGAAAGTTCTGTAGATGTTCAAATGAAGTTTGAGAGGAAGGTCAAGTAAATACAAATTCCTCCAATTTCCTCTGCTCACCATAGCCAGGGATTTTGTTCCATTTGTCCTGTTCCCATCAAAACACAGATCAGCCTGGTTTCCTTGATTCTCACCAGGA